GACAAGCCTCTGATAGACTCTGCGGCCCAAGGAGCAAGGGTTTATTACATCTTTGATCACAACAAGAAGACTTTGAAAAATGGAGGAAGGAGCAGAGGACAGGCAAAACTTCCTTCAATCAAGGAACAAACAGTTCTGACAAGCAACGTAAGGATGGGAAAAGTCACAGCTCTTAACAGACTCTATTCCTGTTCATTTTTCATTGCAAGTGCTCCAAGCTCAGACATGTTTCCGTCCAAGAAGCATCTCTTTTGCTCAGATTTTTTTGTGCACACACTGGCTTGATAAGAGATTGAAATTGCAGCATGCTCTCTCAGAGCTATGCAGATGGTTGCTCATCTACTCATTGGAGGCTGCCTCACACATTGTACTTTTCCAACTTGTCGACCCCCCAAAGTGTGCATTCATAATGAGCCATAGCCACATGACATGAAAAGCCATAGTTTATGGCTTACCATGATCGAGCAACATGATGGCGCATGCTGCTCAGCCACTCCTCCTTTAAGCTTTGTTCTTGGCTTACTGCTTTCATTTTGTGGGAAACCATGAGACCATTTCACATGTAACACTAAGGCAAGCCTTGTGGCTTGTTTCTTGCAGCTGTAGACAGGGCAGAGTGAAAGGAGGGTGATGGAAGAATGTGCATTAGCATGCTGCTCATTCATGGTTTGTTGCTGTGACATGCAAACCATGGCTTACAGTGACATTCAATGTGTGAATGTCAGCATGAGTGATCCTCAGCACATGAGCCAAGAGAATCAAATGGATCATACCCATCCTTTCCTCTTGTTCAGTGAAAGACACAATCAACTAAGGCAGCCTCAGTCCTGAACCCTGACCAGAAGGTGGCTTGAAATCAGGCCTCTGGGCCAAACACAGCTCTGTCTGGCCCTAAGGACTCTCCACAAACTTCTCCACTTACTGGTGATGCTTGAATGCTTCTGTCCACTGGTGCATGTTCCCTGGAAGATTGACCATAGAAGTGCTGCCTTGGGGACATCTGCTGCCTGAGGAAGCAGCCTCACCCTGCCTAATGGGTGGACAGGCCCCTTATCTGTCTATCAAAATTAGGTCACTTAAAAAGTTTTCACATGCATTCTGTGTGTTCAGTGTCCATCCAACTCCATTGGCAGGGCAATATGTTGAAGAGGGGTGAGAGTATACAATATAGCATTTCTCAACTTGTTGCCTCATTCTGGTTGGGTTGCCTTCAAATGACCTAGAAATAAGCTGGGTCAGCCGCAGCCTATTCACCTGAATAGGAGGGAAGCACCCCAGGAGTATTCTTTTTTTAATATGCCTTCTCACTGAATGTATTGTGCTGCTACTGAAATCGGCTGGCTAATATTACACAGGATTAATAAAAATTCACCCTCGGAGGTTAGATTCCCAAGTCATTCTGAACATTTGAAGTTTTCTTATTATCTGCTAATGAACTGGAGTGGCGGTTTGACTAATTGTTTTTTTTTTTAACCCACCCATATTAAAAATGTATAGCTATGCCCTGTGATTTTTATTCACATTATTTTAAAAATGATGTTGACTTTACCTAAGGCTTTGGGTTTCTTCAAGCTGGAACATGTAATAAATGTGTTAAGGGTGAGAGCGACCATGTGAAAACAGGAAATTGTATTCTTTAAAAGCAAGATGAGAGAAAGACTCCTGAGTGAAAACTGGGGTTGAAGTACAGACTGCCACTTAGGCATCTTCTCTTCCAGCTGCAACAAGAGTCTGCCATTTTGTCCAAAGGGCTTACGGGCACCTGGTTAAAAAGTAGACTCAAATATGGTGCATTTGTTCTCCCAGTATATGGCTAGGAATACAATTTAAAAACCAGTTACCCTGGGTGCTACTGCAATGAACGGCAATGCGTTACATCCAATTAGAATAGTAACTAAGGATAGAGGTTGGTCAACAGGAACCATAGTTTTTGCATGGATCGTGCCCCAGGCTTTTCACCCTGGTTTCCATATGGAGAAGATCATTTCTGCCATCTGCTATAGAGGGGTGTTTCACACTTCCACAGTTTCAACATTAACCCCTTGTACTGCATACCCTCCAAGTGTTTTGATTTCCGAGGGATTGTCCTGGAATATCAAAAGACATCCTGGCTTCTGATTTCATCCCAGAATGTCCCTATTTTCCCTGCTGGTGCTGCTGCCACTGAGCTGAGGGAGGAGGAGGAGATGGAACTTGTCCCAAGCAGTGGTTGCTGTGGCTACGAAGGGAGCATCCATGGCCCCTCCATGGCTGCCGCGCGCCTCCTCCCTTGGGCAGTTCGTAGCAGCTGCTGGAGGTGGGAAAGAGGAGGAGAGGCTGCGCTGGGTGGGAAGAAAGGGGGAGCAGAGCAGAGCAGAGGCAGAAAGAGTTCTGATGCTTTTTAAAAAAATGCTTTGTTTATCTGTGCCCAGTCCTTGCCCCTTTCTAAAATTTATTTATTGGTGTGTGTTTTTCTTTTTGTAAATCTATCAAATAATTGGAGGTGGTGGGCCTGTGTGTTGTGTCCCCATTGGTTTGGTGATGCTAGCACTCGCCCTTCTTCTGATAGGAAATGTTCTGCAGGGCGTGGGGACAAAAAATTGGGGTTGGGGAGTGAGAAATGTCCCTATTTTCCTCTGAGGAATGTTGGAGGGTATGGTACTGGTACTGATCCACCAGAGCAGGATTTGTTGTTAGACACCCCTGTTTGGGGGAATGTCTGTGTATAAGCATGGGTCAAAGATCAAAATAGGGGTGGGGTGGGGGGCTGGTGTTGATGTAAATAACTTTGGCATGCAAGACTGAAGCAATATTCCATGCTGTGTCTTGCAGTCAATTTTATTTGTTGTCTTGGTGTTAGCTCTGGTGGTAAGGTATTCTTACAGCATTAGAACAAAAAAAGTCTTTGTCCTCTTCATCCCTGCCAGAGACAACCAATGGTGTGAAGCGGGGACAGAGAAGAGGTAAAGGAAATTTGGAAAGAAACATGAACTTGGTACATTTTCAGCAGCAACTTAGTACTCTGAGTTAAATGCATTTTTTTGTTCTGAGATTAGCATTTGGGCTCCATTTACTATGGACCAGAGATTTATGCCTCCCAAGCCCTAACTCCTGGTTTTCCAGTCTTTGTCCATACCCATTAAAAACTGCAGTACAGTATACATAGCTACTTTTCTCCAACACGAAACTTGCCCCTGTGGATTACCTTAGCAAAGGCAAAAAAAAAAAAGAATAGCCCATTCCCCCGTATAGATATAGCACCCCAGAACTTAAAAGAGTGATCAGAGTGTCATGTTTTGGCAAAGCCATACAGAATGTAGGGAGACACACATCAAGACTTGTTCAAGCAGGGAGGAATTGCATTTGGATTGACTCGCAGGAGAGTGAAGATAGCAGGAAGGGCAGCTAATTGGCTCAACTATCAAAATTCCAGTGTCAGAAAAATTATTAATTAGGAGAAATTTAGTTGTGTACCACCAGGTCCTTTGTTTTAGGAATCCCTTGGGTTTTGTAGGCCTCCCTTAACTCAAACTAACTACCACTGCATTACTAATACTACTTGACAGTGATGAATGTGGGTGATTTGTTTCCTGCAGTTCTGATCATGTTATACTGGAAATCTAAGCTCAGAAGTGAATGTGAAGGAAATGTTTTCTGGAAACACAATCATGCTCTTCCTCTGCTTCATTGCTGTTGCTAAACTCCAGGAGAAAGAGAGAGAAAGAAACTGATCGTCTTAACTAATCCCTTTCTCATTATATTCCTTATCATGTTTCCCCTGTCCTTTTCTCTGCCTCTCCTGATCTGTCCATCTAAATTGGGCTGGAGGGGAGGAACCTGTTCACCTCCAGATTTGGTTGGACTTAGAAAGTCTTGTCAGCCCCAGGCAGCATGGCAAGTGGTCCAGGATGATGGGAGTTGTAGTCCAGCAGCATCTAGTAGGCTACAGCTTCTCCATCTCTGATGTACATAAACCAACAAAGCTGGTTTCAGAAAGTGACTATGGTCTGGCCACTGCTGCTGTTTTTGTTGTTGGGTTTTTAGGTATCAGGTTTCTCTCATTTTCTCTGTAGTATAGAAATTTCAAAATAAAGTATGCTCTTTTTGTGGAGTAAGGGAAAAAAAGGAAGTGGTGAGATGGAAAAAGTAAAGTGTTTAGGCAAGGTCCAGAAGAAGGGCAAGTGGCAGGGAATCCTAAGTAGTGGACCAAGCACAAAACTATATTTAGCCACAGTTTATAAGGTGCTTTGTTGGTGGATTATGAGTTTCCACTGCTAAGTACTATTTGAAGGGAGAACCTTCGCCTTTATTGGAGGGTGTCAGAAGGTAGACGCAGAAGTATGAAAGTATCGGACACACCATACATTGAAAGCACACGGCTTCCCCCAGAGAATTCTGGGAACTGTAGTTTGTTAAGAGCACTGAGAAGTGCAGCTCTGTGAAGCATAACCTACAGCTCCCAGGATTCTCTGGGGGAAGCTGTGTGCTATATACCAGTAAGTGGTTTAAATGTATAGCATGAAAGAGAGAGCTAGTCTGGGTTTCACCACCCTTGACACATGGTGACCTAGAGCACCTGAAGCAAAAATGGCAGAGGGTTGTCCCCCAATTAAAGGATATTAATTAATTGCAATTAATCAATCAAACTCAATAATATGACTTTTAATTGATTAATAAATGAAACTGTCAATTATTCCATATATATTGAAGCACCATTCAACTTTTGTGTTTAGGTTATACGCACATCAGCCATAACAGGCATAATGAGAGAAGAGAGATTCCTCGTATGTGGTTATGGGGAAACACCTATGTTAATGGCACTTGTCACTTGCAGTCTGTGTGACTAGGATGGAAAGGCACCACTGGATAGAACCACTTGTCTAAAGAGCTAGAATAAAGACAACGAAATAGCCTGTAATTTGATAAATATATATAATTACCAGATCAAGTATTTACTTAGAAGCTTTTATTAGACCACAGCAGAGTTCATTCAATTTATTTTGTGTTTTCATTTTTTGTAGGTCAAGATGTTAAAAAATCTCTTATGGATGTGTTGGACCTTAGCCATAACAGGTGCACTTCACAAAGGTAAGGACATTGTGGACCAGGAATATTTGCTGAAGCTGGCTTCTGTGAGAACTGGAGAAGTTGTCCTGATGTTTTTTGGCAGTGGGAGTATGGCAATTATTCTGAAGCAATTAGTCTGACCTCCATAACTTTAATGTGTGTGTGGTTCCTTTGCCCTGATGGCTCCTAGTTACACAGAAATGAAGGAAAATCTCTGTATATTTATTTATTTATTTAGGGTTGCCACTTCTTCCCCGCCCCTTTTTGGACAGTGTTCCTATTCGCCTTTAACAGCTGCTTGACAATGAAAAGAACTAAGGAGTAAAAGCTTGTGCCGTTATCAACCTACAATGTTGGGGTAAAGAAGCATTTCAGCACCATGCAAGAGCTAGCAAAGGTTCAAGAGTTCCTGTTGGAAACAGAGATGACAGTGCTCTTCTCAGATTATATTCCCAGGGGGAAATCAGCCAGCGAGAGAGCACTCTGTTCCTCATGTAACTGCTAGTTAATATTCTGAATGGGAGCTGAATAAAGTCCCAAGTTAATCCCTAACTTCTCAAGGTAGGACTGGGAGACAATCCTGCAGCAAACCTTGGAGACCCAGCGCCAGCCAGTACCAAGCTAGAAGGACCAATGGGTCTGTTTCCTATGTTGTTCTTCAGTGGTAGAGTACATGCTTTGCATGTAGATGTTCCTAAATTCCTCCAAGTAGGACTAGGAGGGACTATTTTCTGAAACCTTGTGAAGTTGTTGTCAGTCGCTGTAGACCAGCAGCAGACAACATGGTGCCCTCAGAATGTTGTTGGACTCTAACCTCCACCAGCTCCATCCAGAATGGCCACTGGTCCTGTTAGCTAGGGATGATGGGAGTTGTAGTCCTAAAACATCTGGAGGGCCGAGTTTGCCTATGCCTGGCCTATAGAGGGGGTGCTAGCTTACGCTAGTTGCTTGTCAATTATTTAGCTACCCACTGCTGCTGTGCCTATAAGAGCAGCTTGCTGTGCAGCCATTGTGAAGTGAGACAATGCTTATCTTTATTATATGCCAACTTTTGCACATCACACACATCAACCAAGCCTGTTATCTTCTGGTCTGTTGGCAAACCAAATTCTGCATTAATAGTTTATTGTAGCTAAACCAGAACACCTTGATTTACAGTACAAAGCATTTCCCACTGGGTTCCAACAGGACAATACCTGGTAAATAAGCATAGGATTCCAGCCTAATCTCAAACTGGATTATGGTGACTTCAGATGTTACAATATTGCTGTATGGAAAGAAGTACAACTTGTGATCTCACACATGTGCATTGCTACATGATTGTTCACATGTGACCATCTACACAGAGATTGCATGGTGATTCCTACACAGAAGTGTTTTCTGTATAAAGAACGCTGTACCTTACGTTGCTTCAGTTGGTTCAACTGGTTTGTGGATTAACCATTGGCAGACTTTTATGGGCTATATGTTCCACTGAGGTGGAGATTTCCATCATGATTTGCCCTGTCTGTTGCTAAGGTGGTACCTTTAATAGCAAGCTAAATGTATGTGTGACGTGAATGGAGGCGTAATTTAAATATTTGCAACTGGGTGTAATCCCCTAACAGGAAAGAAGAATGTATAAAATCAAAATTAATTGACCTGCCTTACACTTTCATATTTTTCCATATTAAAACCCAGTTTTTCTTAAAGCCTCCCTGCCACATTTCCCCTGGTATGCGCAAATACCATCTACCATTTCAATTACGACAACAAAAATACATTTATATTGAAAATAATAAGGCTCTTTGTAGGACCACTGCTGTTGTAATTTTATCAATGGTTTTCATCACTGGCCCTGGTTTCCACACCATGATAAACAATTAAGCAATTGCATCTTTAATCAGGGTTTCATGTGAATGGGCCATGTCCTGGGACATACTGCTCAAAAGTCCCCTCTTCACTTTGCTCACAGGCCATGCTGGGAGCAACAAACCGCAAGCCTTGGCTTGCCTTGTCATTCAAACCCAGACTAATGGTTTGTTTCTCTCCAAACAAAGCACAAGTGGTAGCCAGGGTTTGTTCTTGGCCTGCTGCTTGTGGTTCATTTGGGGGAAACTAAGCACGAGCCTGGGCTTGGATGCCAAGCATTGTGGTTTGTTGCTCCCAGTGCAGCACGTCCAGGAGTGGTGGAAGAGCAAACACAGGGACTTTTGAGCAGCGTGTACTAGCACACTGCTCATTTGCATTCAACCATAGTTAAGCATTTGTGATGGCTGCTTTAATTTCTTTTTGGGAGCAACTGGCAAGCGAGGCAGCGGTGCCACATTATCTGTTTGAGAGCCTCATTTCAGAGGCTCAAAATTGCTGGGTTTTGCCCCAAAACTTTCATATGGGGGAGGAAAGATTATCCAGATATAGCCTCCTCCTACACCTCTCTCTTTTCCTCTCATGGCATCATCATAGAATTGTGGAGTTGGAAGAAACCACAACATATCAATACTGTGCCTAGAAGCTGCCTCAACACTCCATGATTTCTCCATTTCATCTAAGGCAGCAGCTAACGTATGCCTCTTACACCTCACCTAATTTAAAGGGAATGCTGTTCCCCCCCTTTTCTGCTCCCCTTCATTTTCTACCCCACTCCACCTTCCACAGTCCCCCCTCCCCCACCCTTTCCTCTGCTTTGATTCCCACCATCAAGGTTGATTTGAATGAAGTAGTACACATGGCAGCAAGTAGCTGAATCCAACCTTGGCTTCCCTTTGTTGCAGATTGCATATACTCATTCCCAACTTGTTCCTTTTGTAAATCTTCACCTGCCCCCTTTCCCCTGGCGCAGTGGTGCCATTTTGTGGTTTGCCTCAGGTGTCAGAATGTCTTGGGCTGGCCCTGGTCAAGAGATTTGTAGATGCCTCAGGGGTGGAATGGCTATTGCCTCTAGCTCTATGGTATTTGTTTCGAAAGGGCCAGTGAGTATTAACAAGAAGCATGTATTGATGTGTTTGTGGGTGTTTCATGCTACTACATTCAGATGCATGTGCCCTCTTAAATATTATTGCTGCAGATGGAATGTACATTTGCCTAGTTTCACATGATTTACAGCCGGAGCCTGAACAGTAACTGATCCTTCACCATGCCTGGTTTACATCCTCCCTCTCTTTACTGTACGAACTCAGACCACAAGCCATCTGGCAGAACAGAAAGGTTTTTGTTAGAATTCAATTTATTACCTTCATTGTCAAAGCCTCATGCACGTTTCTGCTGGTAGACCTGGATATTTCTGCAGATCTGCTCTCGCAATCTATATACGTTGACGGGGTAATCCTAAGGGCTGATTTACATCTGATGAAAGTCCTGCACAGAAGGCACTTCCATGTTGGTAATAGCTGGTGACCCCATTATGTGTACCTAAGGGGTGTGTGTGTGTGTTGGACAGGGGAAGAAGAGATTCACACAGTAGTTAAGGGGCTGTTCTTTTCTATATATTCAAAACTGAATTGCAAAAATTGAGGGAAGCTGTGCGTTTCAAAAACATTTGTTGTAGATACTATAGAAAAGAATAGCCTCTTCTGTGGAGAAACTGTATGTGGTCTGAAACTATAAGTTTGTTGGACTTTCTGTTGCCCTTTCCAAATGTTGTCCTAGTCCTCCATATGTAAATCATCACGTTTGATGATTGCATGCGTATGTATTGTATGATGTGAACTGTCACCTGGAAGCCAAGATTGCTTTCAGCGACTTCCTGCTTCATTTACTACTTCGCTCAAGGAAGCTGTATTTCTTCACCCAAAGTGCAACTGATTTATGGAATTTTGTATCAAAATATGGGGCAATGAAGACTAGTTTAATGACTTTGAACACTACTATGTAAACTCACCCAAGATATACCTCTCAATGGTTTATTAGACATGATTAGGAATGCTTGGGGAATTTGTGAATTCTGATATAAAGTGGCCTGAATCTAGTCTGCTGGGCTAATGTGCTCATTGAAACATAGATAGCCTTCAGAGCTCACACTTATCTGAATTTTGTGATAGTGCTTAGAGTGTATTTGGACCACAAAGCACTGATGAATAGTTCTCAAACATGACAATCTACATACAAGTACAGTGCCTTCCATGAACAGGAAGAATATCCCTTTTGGGAGTTATGGGGCTGTTCAAGAGACATGGGCGGATCTTTGGGTTGCAAGCTGGCATCGCAATATCCTGGAATAATTAATTTGTGGAAGGTTTTTCTCTAAGGTTTTTCTATTTTGGTTATAGAATAACAAGCACATATGGATTTGTGCCTTCATAGCTGATCATTGGGCTGGGGGTTTCTCAGATTTATATTTATTATAGTTAACAATATGGTCATAAATTCTACTCATATTTATCCAGAGATAAAAACCAACATATAGTTAGCAGAATAAAAACTTAAACACATTGCAGGATCTACCAAAATAGACCAGAGGCAATTGTATCTCATCCAGCAGAGCTTTACTGCTACTGAAAGCAAATAAGCAAAATGGTCACAATCCAATACATACAGTGGTACCTTGGGTTACATATGCTTCAGATTACATACGCTTCAGGTTACAGACTCCGCTAACCCAGAAATAGTGCTTCAGGTTAAGAACTTTGTTTCAGGATAAGAACAGAAATTGTGCTCTGGCGGCACGGCGGGAGCAGGAGGGCCCATTAGCTAAAGTGGTGCTTCAGGTTAAGAACAGTTTCAGGTCAAGAACGGACCTCTGGAACGAATTAAGACCTCTGGAACGAATTAAGTACTTAATCCGAGGTACCACTGTACAGGTTGGCACTGCCCACAAGAAATCCAGTTGCAGTTTGTAAGTTATAATAACTTATAGTAAGACTAAAACCTTAACACTAAGATACATTCTTCAGAGACAAAGTTCTGCAGAGATGAAGGGTGTTGGTATTATGGTCATAGCAAAAGTCTTTGTTGCCTCTCAAGTGCTGAGCATCTTAAAAAAAAAAAAAGACCATTTTTTGCAATGGATAACAAGATGAGGTTTAACAGCACAGATTTTTAAC